ATATATATATATATATATATATATAAATTTTCTAAATAAATGAACTATAGCAACTCGATGGAGATCCATGACTAGTTCGTCCAATTAATTCAAGATTTCATGAAATGCCATAAAATTTGAGTTTCTGATATATTTTTATCGTATGAATTCTCTGTCTTTTTCTCCATTATTCTAGATCTATTTTTCATTTTTAATGATTATAAATAATATTCTAATAAACTTGAAACAAATTTGAAGATTAATTTTGGATCTAGATTTAGATTTAGATCTATATCTAAAATAACATAAATCACATAAATCAATTGTTCACAGTTCTTGAATTTTACAGAAATTGTTTGACAATTTTATGAAATTCAATAGATCTAGATTTAGATATACATTCTAATTATGTTCATTTTGATTTAAGGTTGATTGAATTCAAATTATATTTTGAATTATGAAAATTTTGTTGCAAGGATTAAAATCTTGAATTGCTACAATTTTTTTTTTGAAATTTTTGATTAATTTTCTATTTTGCATTTTACAATTGCAATTAATGTTCTTTGTCTAAAAATCCCCTTCCTAAGAATCTATGTGATAAATTCATATATTGACTTGTGTCTTTGAGAAGAAGAATGTCCTAGATTTTTTCCCATATTACAAATCCAAGGAGAAAGTAATTTTTATAGTGATTTTGTGACACCCTCTACCCGACATACCATAACACAAATAATAAAATTAGAATGACATAATTCCTTCATAATCAAATGCCCAACATCTCTAGATAGAGAGCATCACATTTGTAACTTGAACAAAATAACGTAATCAGCAGAAATTACTAAAGAAATAAAACTAAGGTTTTCAAAATAAGTTAATAGAAACAACATCTTAATGTAATCCTATCTATGCCCTGATGTTACATGTCCTATTAGAGCAAAGCCCAACACTGAATCCTAAGTTTCTTCACCAACATCCTCAGTCTCATGTTGATGATTACTTGCATGATAACCAAGGTAAAACAACACAAAAGAAAAAGGAGTGAGAAACATCTCACTCTAGCTCACAGTGTAGGAGTATACACCGAATAGTCAAACACAAACAAGACATATATATGTACATAACATAGACGAATTAACAACAATATCACACTCCACCCATCCATGACATAAAATCAATTAACATATAATATTAAAATACACATCTAATGGACACAAACTACAAATTATCATGCATGTAACGCCAGTCAAACATCACATAATGCATTGCCGCTAGCAACACACATAGAGTAGTCTAGGAGTACATGTTGGGTCACACCCTCTATGCACTCTCACTAGAAGGACATACTACCAGGGTCTGGTCAGGATAGCTAAGTCACACAAGATACATATCATGGATACGATGGTTGAGACTGAGACTTACAAACTGAGATATCCCCAAGGACTAATCACCAAGCTTTTACACAAGGGATCCTTCTTTGGCGATGTATTCCATATTGTACCCTTAAAAACATTTATGAAAATGATACATGTAAATCAAGACTCTATGCATTCCCATATCACATTATCATGTTGTTCCACCATATTAATTTTTCTCACATCACATACTCATCAATTATATTCATTAAAGGATAACATTGAATAACACAAGAAATTCACATCATTGAATATCATAGATCACAAGAGAGAAGTAACACAAGATTCACATTGCACCAATAGAACCCATCAAACAAATAAGAAAAGAAGCATAACAGAGGAATTGGCGCTCAACCCTAGATCGGGTACTCAGTGCAAGGCTTCTAGAGAGTAATTTTAACTCTTTGGTTGAGCCACGCTAAGCGTGATTAATAAGGTAGGATGAAACAATTGATTGGAAGAAATATTTTAGAATTATAAGTTGGGAGTTATGGTGAGTGCAAGAATTTTAAATACCTTTTTGATAAAAAAAAATAGTCAAGCATGATACATGTGAGACAATTATAGTTACTTAAGAGTTGTGATTTTGAAATTTTGATGATGGAAACCTACTTCCCAAGGATCCTTTTGGAAGAGATAAGACCAAAAATGGTGAAGGATGATAAAGTTGGTTTGAAGAATTGTAAGGCACTTACCCTACCTTTGGAGGAGTACCCTACCTTAGAGGGCTTCTATAATTGTTATAAATTTTTTCATAATTCATTTTATTAGTGATTGTATTATGATATGTTTTAGTCTTGTATTTTAAGGTCAAGTAGTGTAAGTAATTTTATCCTTGTATTGTTTTTACTTAAGGGTGTAATTAGTAGTTTAAGGGATGTGTAACTAGTAATTTAGGGGATGTGTAACTAACTAAAGTCATTATAGACTTATTGGGCTTGAATGGCCCAAATCTTTTTTATAGCCCATAGATTTGGACGTCCACTTGCTCATGCAAGTGGTTTGGACGTATAAACCAAGCCAATATAGCCATCCAAGTTGTGAATTAAGCCACATGAATTTTGATAGTGACATCTCAACAACTTGTTAAAAGTAATCATTAGTTTAGTAGTTATAATGATCAGGTTAGGTAGTTGGAGTTAACTTAAGCTAACCTAGGTTATTCTTAAACTATGAATAGCTTAGTTTGTTTCATAAGTTTATAGAGAATTAACTAGACTTCTAGAAATTTAACTAGAGTTGGTTAACTTAAGTACAAGATAACTATCCATGGTTACACTTAACCATGGTTAGTCTAGCTTGCACTATAAGCCAACTAAACTCTATATATTGTAGTTTTGACCCATTTTGTACTTCTTTTGAGATTTTAATAAATTGGATGAACTTTTCTCTAATTCTCTTTTTCAAAGCTTGTTTCTCTATTTGAAATTTCTTCCTTTTCTCTTACATTCTTGAGTGTGGTGAGAATTTGAAGAGACTTATTACTCTTCAAGAGTGTGGCGTCACCTAAGGGAGATCCTACCTTTTCTTGTGTGTTAGAAATGGCTTCTAACATCATTATAAGCCATTGAAGGAGCTTGAAGGAGTCCAATAAGTTAAATATCCGTCCAAGAAGCTTCAAGGGAAAATTATGTCAATCAAGTCTCTCCCAATTAAGGTTTCCATCATATAGGTAGGAAATTCTTAATCCATCTACCTTGATGACTAGAGAATTGAGCCTTTAAGATAAGTTTTGAAACCCATATTGACATGTGAGTAACCCTTAGAACATCCTTAATGAGATATATTGAAGAAAGCCAAAAGTTTGATAGGTGAGATTAGGAAAGGCAAGAGGTTTGATCCCTATTGTTAGCTTTATTAGTTTAGTGTTGGACCATGATAGGAGAATGGTATTAAGGGGGTATATAAATGATGTTTTATGACTCCAAGATAATTACAGTGCACAATGAAACTATGGAATGTCCTTGAGCTAGTTAGAACCTACAAAGAACCTTGTATTAGGGCCTGAAGAAGTGCCACAAATTGCTAAATTGGTTAGACCGTACTAAGAAAAGACTAAAGACCACCATTAGAAGTCAAAAAAGATACCATAACATGAGGAGGAAAAAGTATGAGTATGGTGAGGGAGACCATGCATCCTTGAAAGAAACTATTGAACTTGAGTTGGTTGGCATTATGATTGTTGGTTTATGGGTACATTAAAATTCATTAGGATTATCCAAAGGTATCAATTAATTTAGTTAGTGCATATATTGTTACCAAATAATATGTCTCAAATCTTGATGATTGTGAGAATCATAAAGTTTCTAAGATCATATTAGTTTTCTATTATTGAGAACTTCATATATATATATATGTGTGTGTGTGTGTGTGTGTGTGTGTCTAGTGATGCTTATAATTTTAATTAATTATTGATCAGCCATAATATCTTTAATTAATTGAAATTATATATTTTGTTGCTTAAATCACATAAAGAATGACATAATATTGTAATTGATTATAGTTGATTATAATAAGTTTTATCTCACATGAATTATTGTTGTGTGTGTAATCAATTAGGATAAAATATCAAATTATATTTTTTTAACTTACCCATACGGATTAAGAAAAAAAACATAATTTGATAGTTTTATCATAAGCTTATGTGATGAATCTAATTGAGTATAATTGTAGCCCACAAACACGTTTTATGTCCTTAGATTTATATATATTTGACATCAATCTCATATTATGAATAATAAGTGATCATGTTTAAACTTTGCAATTATGCAATTTGCAAATGTTTCAAATTTAAATTATGATAAAGGATTAATTCATGAATTAATATATGAATTACATGTTTTGGAATAGTCATAACATCCTAAACAATGTAACAAAAGAGTTATTTCAGAAGGAAGAAATAATTAATTAAGGTTATAGGCTAAATGTCATGATAGGATATTTCTATGCCCATAGACATGATCTATTTTATTATGATATTTGTTTTCCATATATAATGTTTGTAAATTCTATGCATGTTTTGCATCAAAAGTTTTGAATTTACTGATTTATGAATTATGGAGAAAAGACAAACACTAGAAGCGGAGGTTGAATAATATCAATCAAAAACTCACACTTTTTCAAGTAGTGAAGTAGTAACACTATCAGTAAAGAGTGTTGAAGAAGAGGTAGATAAAACACATAATATTTTTATATTGGTTCGTTTTAACCAATGAGACTACATGTAGTTCTCAATCCAACTAGATTAAGTTCCATTATCTTAAATAAGATACAAGTATTCTTTTAACAAGTCACTTCTAGCTTAAACCTGAGTGTTCTTTGAATTGTCTCTTCAAGCAATCTACCCAAGTATTCTTTTCAAGCAAAGCCTCTCCAAACTTCAACACCAGATATTATTTTGCGAACAATCCTTTCTATGCTAAAACAAGTATTCTTTTACAAACAAGCTTCTCTAAGCTCAACCAAATAACAATAGTTATATCTGGATAAAGTTTTACAAATTTTGTTTCATCTTACGAATAAGACGTGATGCAATCAATTGAAGTCTTTAAAGAAAGAATCGATGAATAATAATTAGTACAAAAGTTCTTTTTATTTTTGATCATGAAGCTTCTTATATAGTAGTCTGGATGCAGATGACTATTGCAAAATCTTGAGAGTTCCTCACAAGCTACCTTCATCTGTCTTTGTTATAGGTTTCTTGAGATGAGAAGTCTCCATTGATGCATTAAATTCATTTCACCAAATTGTCACTGATAAAGGAGGCTACTTATCAATTTCAGGATACTAAATGGACTATTTATAGTGTGTGTCAGTGAAGAGAAAGTTTTGTATCAACTTTTGCTAACTTTTGGCATGATTTCAAGGATCTATTTTTCATTGGTTTTGGCATAAAGAATGGCTTTATTCACTATAACATATTTGTGAGTTTCAAAGAGCTTTCTTACTTCGATCTGTTTAGAAATCACTTAGACATGTCACTAGTAGTCATTAGTTATTATAAATGATATGCATTTAAGACTTTATGAAGTCAAACTATATGTTTCGTCTAATAACACATTGTTTTTCTAACGATTTACGTCTTCTATTTTGTATTTCTCTAAAATATTTTCTCTTAGAAAAATATTTTGTTTGTTATCATTAAAACTTTGAAAGTTTGAGGGGTCCAAAATCGTCTTTTAACTTAACATGAATTATCATAATATGATATCACAAAAAAGGTATATATTTTTATCACCTTGTACAAACATTCCAAAAGTTAGTGGGAGTCAAAAATTCCAAATAAATGAAAGTGAATTCTTGACAAGTGAAATTTGAGAAAATAAGTGGGAGTATATGATACTCTTGAATATCACTTTAAAGAAAAATATTTGTTGGATACTAAAAGATTATATCACAAACATAATGTTTTTAGTCTTAAAGTTGTCAATTTTGTTGAAGACTAATTAAGAACTCTCGACTAAGAATTCTTTTTTAAGAATGTTAAAGGTGACAGTCAAGACAAACAAATTAGTAGAGGTCAAAAGAGAGTTATTCTCCATTGAGCATATAGTTGCAGAATCGATGATCCAGCAAAAGATTGCTAGCTATAGTATTTTAGGATTATATATTCAAAGGCTTGCATTAAAGTTTGTCTTTTTAATTTTATAACTTTGTGCACATTAAGTTTGTCATATAAAGATATGATTCATTTGAATCAATATAGTATGGACCTATTTTAGATATTAGAAAGTATTATACCTTGTAATAAATCGATAGAAATGTTTATCTTGAAACATAACCATCATGATTTATGTATGATAATTTCTATGTAGTTTTGAGGAATTTAAAACTTCAAGTTAAATGGTCATGTTTAGATGTTGATGATAGGGATAATCTTTAAAGGGTATATGAGGAAAATTGGAGAATGTTGGAAAAATTATATGGCTCATAAAAATTTGTGTTTAATTTAATTACCTTATTAATCTAATTAATTACTTGATAATAAGGAGTTGTTATAGAATAATAATCAACTATTGTGAATCATAATAAACATATTTTATTGGTTCTTAATGGAGGAACTAATGAAGGGTTATTACGATAATAAGGTGGAGGATCTTTAGTTTTGCCTATAAAAAATGTCTATGGTGTTTCATTATTTAATAAGTTTAAGGAAGGACAAAAGTTAGAAGAACTCTATTTATTTTCTAAATACTTTATTACATATTTAGTAGTTTAGTAGCAATGACTAAAAGAGATATGTTTCCACTATTATAAGTTATAGACTAATGTTTTATATTTCTAAAAAATCCTACTTTTCAATAAATGCTAAGGTATTCAGAATGTAAGTTCATTCCAAAACAAATTTTCATTAAGGTTTGAACTTGCATGAGAATACTTATTGCAGGGCATTAACATATTTTTATAAGCTTTGGACTTAAGTTCTTTTTCGATAACTTTATGTATTAGAGATATAAACAATTTGGTTGCTAGTTTTCTAATTCTTGTTTGAAACTTGATTTTAGCAAAACATTGTATGATCAAATTAATTAGTTCATTGGATGCTTTTGATCCAAAATAGAGTTTCTTATGCATAAGAAAAAATGTTTATACCTTTTCACTTTTTTGATGTATGAATTTTTCACTTAGCTGAAATAACTCGTTAGATCACCAAAATATAATAACATTAGTTCTCATCAAGATCATGAGACATTTCAAGGATGGACAATTCAAAATGTCTTTTGTTCCAACAAAAACTCCTTTTGATATTTCACGTTTGATCATTTATAGAAGGATGGTCACAGTCATTGAATAATGAACAAAGATGAACCGAGACAAGACAATCTACAACGATACATGCTTTTAAAAAGTGTTTTTGTTAAATTTTGAACCTCAACATCTCTCAACTACTGAGTTAGAGGAACACATTCAAGCTCAATTTCTAGCATACCTCTCTCAACATGTTGTAGCCTCACTGATACCTCCTGTTTGACTTTCCCATCTTCAAGGAAGATGATACCATCTTTAGTAAGAGTGTTGTCACCATTCGCTACCAATTTTCCAAGTTGTATGGACTCAATGGTTGATGATTTCTCGCATGCCTTTGCAGCTGAAACTAAAGGTTCAATGTTTATTTCAACCTCTCCCATAAAATCATCAGTTGAGAAAGTATCCTTGTCAAGCACAACCTACACATATACATCACAATAAGTAAATTTCAAAAATTTAGGCTAAAAGAAAGTAACAATAGTGACTAATAAAGCTTGATATATAAGTTGTTATTTACAAGTTAGTTTGTTTAGCTCCCAACCTACACAAGACTAAGCCTAATTTAGCCCACCAACCTACACAATGGTGATGTAGACTAACAATTGTCTAGGCTCATGTATTTTGCAGGCAAGTTTGATCCAAACCATTTACTTATGGGTCTATAGGAATTAGTTTGACATATATACCTATCTTTAGTCACTAGGTATCAAATTTAACAAAATAACACCTTACTTATTTGGTAAATTTAAAAATTACTAAATAGCACCAAATGTCGTAATGTTATTAGTATCCATTGAGTATGATTGTTATGTTGCAATCAATTACAAAAAAAAAAAAAGAAGTTGTGCCAAAAGTTCTAAATTATGAAGGACACTAACAAAATAATCTCTAGTTCACTTTTTTTAACACACTAAATCATACTCTAAATTTATTATAAAGTAAAAAATAATAATAATAGGTCTAGCTCATTAAATAAGAAGAAAGACTCATTAAAACTTGTGATTTCTAATACATTTAAATTAATAATAAAGAGTTTGTTGAAAATAGTTTATTGCTAACATTTCTCTAAAATATTAGCCTACCAATGAAGAAAAAGTCAAATAAAGAGTAAAAGATTATGTGTTCCAATTATCAAAAGACATATTTAATTTTTTTTTTTGAGATTACCCACTTAGAGAAAATGGTATTCAACTTACCATTTTAAGAGGAGGAATGTCATCAGGAATTGACAACATTAGGCTTTCCTTCCAAATTGGGTTTAAATTGTTCTTAATGACACGTGTCTTCACTGTCTACAAAAAAAGAATGAATATTATTATTGCATGTTAAGTTTATTTAACATATATGAATGATGCCAATGAGTTGAGAGATGAAAAAACTCACTTGGTGACCAAGAGATATGATGACATAAGGGTCACTAGACATTACATCACGGATAGCTAGGTTAATGCCTTTAACCATATTAACCTTGATTAGCCCAACAAATTCAATCATACCTACCTATAGTATTAAATAAATAAGGATAATTTAGTTTATATATTTGAGAAAAATAATAAGAAAAAAAACTATTAATTTTCAACTTGTCATTTTTACATGGTTTTGGATTTAAATAAGGTACAAAATAATATGTTTCAAATTATATGAATATTTAAACAATCAAGGTGCTTCTTAGTAATTTAAAAAAAATTGAAGTCTAAATTTTGAAAAATAAATCTTATGTTGACCTACTTTTTTTGTCATCTAATTTATACAACAAACAAAATTCTCACTATAATGCATATTTACTTTATTGTATAGCATAATTTATTGCATTAGTTGATTTCAAAATGAGTTATCCAATTTATATAGAGGACGAGTGATATGAGTTGCAAAAATCAAATAAAACATTACCAATGAGTTGCTCTTTTTTGCATTCTTGTGATCAGAATCTTTTTTTGTCCAATTATTTCGAAAGGCGTTCCCAAAACGATTTTTAGTTGGTACTTTATCATAATGCCTTTTATTGTGTAGGGCATTGTTATTTGAGGAATTGTACTGTGAGTTTGATGAATTTTTTGCATGAAATGGTACAAAGGGACAAGACAAATTCTCCTCCGTATCCAAAAATTGTAGGAATTCATATTTTTTCCTGAATAATAAAATAATGCATGAGAATCACAATGATGTATTTCTGTTATAGAATTGTGAATTATGTGTGTATATGTATGTACATGTGTATGTGTGTTTTCCCAATTACCTAATAAAATCATAGCGCTCCTCAATGGAAGAATTTGGTTTTGGCTTTTTAATGTTACTTGGAAGGCAAGCTTCATACTTCTTGTTGATTAGTGTATTTCCACCCAACTTCACCAATGCATCAACTTGTTCATCTGTCCATTCGTCTAGATTTAGTGATAAAACCTACGAGAATGTCAAATCATGTTAGAGTTTTCATTCCTAAACATGTGTGGACAAAAGGAAGGGCCATAAAGTACTTGTCTATCATCAAATTTTTAACACATCTAAACATGTTTAAATTACTTAAATAGTAAAGACTAGGTGCCAAATTTGATTACAAAATTGTTAAACATTTTTAGTGTACTAATTAACTTTTCATTTAAAGTTACCAAAATTTATTTTTTTCATTTTGTCCACTTCTTCCTTAATAGTAGTTTAAAAATCAAAGATAGTTGTCAATTGCATGAGTTCTTAACTTATTTTACATGAACTTCACTTAATTATTAGAAATCTTATTTATAATCACTTAAGTAAAAGTATCATTAAATAATTATTACCATACTTTCTAGTGATTGATAATGAGATCACTTCTATATAAATTTAACATAAGTGAAAGTTAACAGTAAAAAAAGGATTAAAAAAATTTATAAAAAAAAGGGAACCATTAGGAAACTATGTAATAGGTTATATGTAACTTATAAAATAATTAAGAATAAAAAAATTGTTAAATATTTTTAATATTGAATTAAGCTTAATTATAAATTTAGTCCTATATTTCAAGTTTTGGTTTTAGGTTGGTTTTCTAAGTATAAAAAGTATTACTTTGATTCTCTAAATTTCAAAAATTTTAGTTCAGTCGCTTAAATAGGCTATGTTAAATCAAATTGGTATCTTAAAAAAAATTCTTTAGTTTAACAAAGACACTTTAAGGAACCAAAATAAAATACTTTAAACTTAAAGGACCAAATTGAAATTTTTTAAACTTGAAGGACCAAACTAAAACTAAAAATTGAAATAAGAAACTACAATTTTAATTTAACTATTAAATTATCATTATTTGAATAGAAAATTAAAAGAATGTAAACATATAATACACTAAAATATTTTTTTTCTTCATAGTTAGAGATATTAAAGAAGAAATATGCTCAAAATATTTTTAATACTCCTAATAAAAAATTTCAAAATATTTTTAATACTTTCAATATTCCCAATTTGGCAAAGAAATATAGATATAGAAAAGATGATCATAATGTTACATATATAATTGAAGTTCTAAACACAATATTTATAATATCTTATCTCAAAAATCTCTACAAGTTATGTTCAAAACATACCTTTGATATGTGGACACCTAGACTTCTATGTATACCAGAGCATTTGATGCAAATAAATACTCCAAGACTTGAAGACCTGGTATTTAGCCAATGGTGTTAATAAAATTAATTTTAAATATTTAGATTCATGTTTATAAAACTTATTTGTTTATACATTTTAGATATTGTATTTTATGTGCCCAAATATTCTTCCTACATTTAGCAATTTAAAAATATAAAATAAAAAAATAAAGTATCAAAAAAGACTCTCATTACAACATCATTTATTGTGACACATTAAAAAAGAATAGAAAACTTTACTAAGGAGATAAACATTGACTAAAACTTACCAAGAATTCACTTAGATATATCAAATGTAAAATATATAGCTGAAATAGTAAAAGTTGCAAAGTCTTTTATGATGTTTCAACACAATAAGAAGCAAATAAGAAAAATGGTTGAAATTGATTACTATTCAAGTGTAAGTTAATGCAAGGAACATTTATCTTCTTAATTAACATATACAAAGGCTAAAAAAATATTTGCAAACAAAAAATAACACCTAGTTTATGATCCATGTTAATGTTATCAAAACAACATGGGAAATTTGCAATACATATAGAGTAAATTTCTTTAAATATAAATTAATACTTACACCCATTTTGGTTCCAATGATCCACAATCAGCACAATATTTATTCCCAGCTTGACGTATCAGATTTTCTAACCTTTTTTGTGGACCTAGTATCCATATGAACAAGATTTAACTATTAAATTCAATAAATTATGCAATGAAATTTCTTTTAAAATGATAATAATTTAAAAATTCCACCAAAGATAATACAAGAGGTATTTTGTTCCTAATTTAGTTGAAATATTCTCATTTTATTCTATAATAGATAGTTGTAAACTATTCCATTTTGTTGTCTTTATATCATATATTTAGGAATAGTAATTTATTGAAACCAAGAAGTTTTGGTTGACAACATTTTATGAAACAACAATATACAACTAAAAATTAATTAAGATATTAGTACTTCATTATATTTTTAAGAATTTTAAGATTTCAAAATAAAAGCATTAACATAAAAAAAAAAATGATTATTTTGCAACTCTTATTATTTCATACATGGATTAGGATGGTTCATCAATTGATTAAGAGTTATATATATTTTTAGTTTCTATTTTTTATTTTAATTTTATTGGATGATACCAGTTGGCAAAAAAGGTGAATCAAACTTACTCGTCCTACTTTTTGTTTAGCCACAAAATAGTCATCTCAACTCATCCCACTATTGGATGATGCATTAAACAGATTAACTCACTTTAAGTAATATATATATATATATATATATAGGATTCAAATATTTTTTTTTATGACAAAATATTATAACAATTAAACATTTAATATGCACATTGAAACTCATCAGAGCCGCCTCACTCTCTTACCATTGTTTCAACCTTGTGTCCATCTTTTGTTTACAATACTTCTAATGGAGCAAAGAGGTTTGTGGGAGTAACATTAAGATGAAAGAGTTTAGTTTTTGTTTGAGAAAAAGGGTTAGAGATTGGAGTGTTGAAGGCTTGAAATTTTGAAGGTTCTTTGGTTTTGGTGCTTAAGAGTTTTCATTAATGGATTCAATAGTTTGTGATTTTTCTTATCCTTGTTGATTTTGCTTACTATGGGTAGTTGATTTTGTTTTTTCGATTATGACTTAAAGAATTTTTAATTTATGTATTTAGGGTTCTTATTTTGCTTACTACATTTTTTTTTAAACCATTTAGTAGTCCACAAGGAAGTCACATGAATATTACAATGGCTATCACATCATCGTTTAATGATGATATTGGATGGAAGGGGCAAGAAAAAATGATAAATGATAATTGAAAGACATAGATTAGTTAAAAAATGTTGAAGGACCATAAATGAATTTCATGAAAAGATGAAGAACTAAAACTATTAAAAATTATTAAAGGACTAAAAGTGAATTTCGTGAAATGAAGGACTAAAAATATTATTGAATAAAATAATATATATAGTCATATCAAAATAGTTGATTATGTGATAACTAACATAATTTTCACATCATCGTTTAACAGTGATACTTGACAAGGGGACCAAAAATATTAATGAATGAAAAGTTTAGGATCCTAGACTTGTCAAATTTTTGTTTAAGGACTAATAGAAAAATTAAAAAAACTTATGACTAAAAATATATTTATCTCATCAATATAAAATTCTTATGTAAATGACAAGTTATAAAGTAAATCGTCAATTTAATCCTTGAAATTGTAACTCGTTATCATACTAGTCTTTGAAACTATGGCAAATAGAAAACTCAAATAAGTCCTAATTTTTTTTTAATGATTTTATTAACATTTCTAAAATTAACTTTTTTTTTCATCATGTTGATCTTTCAACATATGTTATTGTTATCACTTAAATCCTTTGACTAATGACCAAAACAAAAAAAAATGGATAATTTGGGGACTTAAAATGAATCTATAAAAATGTTTAGTTTTTTCTTAGTTTTAAGGACTAATAAAACAACAAAATATAATTGCAAAGACTAAATTAATCATTTAATCTATATATATAATGAGGTACACATAACAATTCACATGATATCAATAATTTTGAATTTTGATTCTTTTAATTTTTTATACTAATTCTTTTAATTATTAAAATCTCATTAATTTAGAATACTGGAAACTAAGGAAGTATCCATTATATGAATGATAGCTATTTTACAAGCATCTAAAATATCCAAACATGATACAATTAGGCCATTAGGCATAAAATGTATAGGCTTGCATATTTTTCAAGTGTGGTATGTAGTTATTTGGTTTCTTATATGAACATTAGATATTTCACACGCATATAAAATACTTTAACATGACATGTTTATAGCCCTTGGACAAAAGATATATCTAGTTATAAAAATTTCTCAAGTGTATTATATTACATTCTTATTTGGTTAAACTCGATAATTTTATACATCTAAATCCTATCACTAAAAATAACATTTCCCAACTATGTACTTTCTACTTACAATTCATATAAGTTTATATTAAGACACATTTTATTTTATCATGTGGTTTATGACATTTTAATAATATAATAATAATTAATTTCTATATGGTTATCTGGTTACCATGAAAATAGTAGGGATATTGATAATTTATGTCATACAAAGATGAATAGTTATTTTTTTACTTAAAAAATAGAGGAATGAAACTAGAAATTCATTTAAATGATCAAGTCTAATGCTCATGCATTTCTTTAACAAAATCCTGTAAGGTTAATCCATACTTTTAAGTTAAACATCCTTTTATACATTACAAACTAAGAAAAAACATTTAATGCAACATATAAACAAAAAGATAAAGGGTAAAAATAATACCAGAAGACATCCATCGTTCTCTTTGACTTAATGTATCCAAACCCGGAGTTTCGGAACAAAATAGATCATAAAGGCAAGATCTTGATCCTAAAATTAAGACATTTCATATTATAGTTATTATGATACAATGTCATAATAAATTGTGAAGAAAATACAAGAGGGAATAACTACCAATAAATTCTACTAATAAATAGAGACATTAATTTTATAAAATATAATAATATGACATGTTCTACTAATTTTAAATAAACTAATTTTCTTTAACCACTTTTTGGTCTTGCTCGTTGTTACAAACTAACAATTAATATTTCTTCCTTATTTGAATAATTATTTCTACTTTCATAGAAATTAAAATTCACCTTTTTGGAAGCCAATCTTTTTTACTTGAAAAACTAAACTTACACAAACTTAAAAAGAATAAAAAAAATGCAATATTTCAAGTCATACTTCTCAATAAATGTGCGTGTATATATATATATATATATATATATATAGAGAGAGAGAGAGAGAGAGAGAAAGAGAGAGAGAGAGAGAAAAAAGAAGAAGTAAGAACATTTTAAATAGGCATTTTCCAAAAAAAAAATTGACAATGAGAAAGCCATTATTTATAGTATTCTCATTATGTTATTTTTTTTTTCAAAAAAAAGATGAAAATTGTGATTCTTTTAAAATAACATTAGTTACAATAAAATAAAAAATTAACTCATGGCTACCCGTTATGACAATACTTACGATTCATAACTCTTGGATTGGACCTTCATCTTTTGGAAATCATCCTTAAGTCCACAAAAGAAACATCTAAAGCTTTTTCAGTTAATTCTTCTTATATAATCACATTTACTTCTTTGGTTGATATATTTAACTTATTTATCACTAAAAGGTGGGTAGGTGTATTTAGGAAGTGAACTCTTTAATGATTTACTTAAATGAAACTAATGAGGATTAATATCCCACGGTGTAAAATATTATCTAAAGCTACTATACTCTTAAAAATCAAAACAAAAAAACAATCGAAAGACTACCAAATTTGCAATGAACAAAACAATTGTCCAAATAATCTTTAACTACAATGAACTCAATAGAATTTTGGTATAATAACATCCCTAGTTATTTAAACATTTAATAAGAATCATCATTTTTCATTTTCTTGAGGAAAGAAATTGTATATATTATCTCTTCTCATGTATTAATTAGTTTGTCATATAAATTATTTAATATAAATAATAAAGGCAAAGAAAGGAAAAGATAAATAAATCAGACCCATCATATACTAATGAATTCAATCTTCTTGTAAAAGAAATATAATTGTAATGTTCCTTTGGAATAAAGGAAGAGAAAAAAAGGAATGATTATAAGAATAATAATTTACCAGATACTTCATTGGTATCAGAATTTTCATGTTGAATAGACATCTCCATCATCCAATATGTGAAACCAGGTCAAAAAAATTGAGGTTACAATCTGGGAATAGCCATATGTTTGTCAATTGCTTCTCTGCATGAAGATATAAGGCTACCTCACATATTTGATCATCTTGAAAATAACAAATGTAACATATCATGAAGAAAAACACAAACAATGGTAAATACCAATGAAAAAACAACGATGAACAAGGAAAGAAAGTAAAAGCTTTTTCTAAGAGCTTACGAATCACATTATTTCTATTCACATCTTAAATTAGGCCCAAGTGAATGGCATCTTATTCTCTACAATCAACAATGAATATTTCACATATCAAAGAATAATATCTAATTAATTATGTCTTATGAGATCAGAAAAGTTAGAGAAATTTTAGATAAATCTTTAATGAAACAAGGCTTGACAATTTTTGAAGAAACAAGCATGAAATTTTCAGGTGCATTGAAAAATTAAAAAAAAATTGAAATGGAAACTAAATAGGGATTTTAGAAAACAAGACACTTATTATTCCTAGAATTTGAGTTCTAACAAATTGCACAGTTTCTTATTTTTATTTTAAGGAAACATAGAACATTGGCTACCAAAAGCCATTGTGAGAACTAACGATTATTGAGATTGAAGTTATTGATGTGATGAATGTTTAACCCACCGTAGAACATTGATGTTCAAGGAAAAATGCTTGAATGTGCTTACATGGGGCGTGTTAACTTTTGTTCATGACAAATCAACAAATATGTAAACAACACATATTGGTATCATCAATTCCTCAACTACTATCCATAAATAGAACTTTTCGGTTAGTTTTTCTTTTATTTAACTATATTGAAAAATAAAGTGTAATTCTACATTTAAAATCATAAAATAAAATATTTTATCTTTTAACATTTTAATTATTGTCTTAAATTAGAAATATAAATAGAATTTTCAATTTAATTTAGATAGTTTTTTATAAATACTTATAGATAAAGAAAATAAGAAGGTAAAATGAATTATTTTTTTTTCTTATAAGTTAAAATCAATTTATATATTTAACTTTGAGAGAAATTAAGCTACATCTTAGTAATGTAAAATAGCTTTATACCATTATCCAATTACAAAGCATTGTGTATGGAAAATTTGTTAACTTTTATAAACAATATAAGACTTAAATATGTTTTGAATCCATATAAAATGATTGAATTTTGATCTTGGTTCATGTAAAAATTTGTCTTTGTTTTTCATGCTTCTAAAGTTTATAAACATTGATTTTGGTTTTTGTGAAATGAATTAGTTTTGAAATATGCATATCATACATAAGTTTATTAGAGGTTTTGCGATGGAGTTCAATTGGGGAGGTTTATATAATCATCTATCATGGCCTTATGGATTTTAATAATTACGGTCTTTTTATAAACATGTTGAGAAGGAATACATGTTTGTAACTATGAGACTTTAATTTGTTCCAATTGAACATCTGACTAGTGATAGCAAGAATAAAGGATATGCACAATGCGATATTCATTTAGTTACCATATACTTTCAAACTACATCAAAGACCATGTCTCAGACTTGGCCATCCGATAAAACTATCTTTGGGACATAGCAAGGATGATGTGATAATGTGTTATTGGTACCAAATGCATAAGAGTTTACATATAAAGTGTTTTGAGAATTGTATTGAGAATGATATGGTTTGATGAAATATGTATATGTTTGAATTTATTGATGTGTGATAATACTATTTGGCCTTTAAAATTCGTACTAAGGCATATTGTGAGATATATTTCACTCTTTACTTTGTTTTTGTTTTGTGAATTATCTCTTGGGTTGAATGCCAACCATGGGTGAAGTCTAGGTAGGTCATAAGAATCATGTTAAACATGAAGTTTAAGCTTCTTTTTATAGCTTTTGAGTTTGTTTTCATATAAGTGGCAAATTGGGGTTGGAGTTTAGTTATAATTATATAAAATGTTTTAGTTTAGTTTTAAAATTATTAGAATTCTTTAGTTTTGGATAACTTATATAAATGTCATTTGAAGTGTCTCATTTGTCATTATTTCATCTTCTATATGTATAAGTTTTATTTAAAGCTTATTTGATAAAAAAAAAATTGAAATTTGAACCTTTTATCCAACAAAGTTTTACTTTTTAATTTATTTGAAAATATAACACTTATAATAACAATTAGAGAAAAACATTTTGAGATAAAGCATGACACAACACACACACACACATATATATATATAGGATTCGCTAACATACTTTCACTTAATTTTTAATTAGAGTTTGTTAGAATCCTACATAAGAAATGTTGGACAAAAAAAAACCAATTATCTTTTCTATTATAATAAATTCATTTTAGGGATATTACAGTAATTTAAATATATTTTTTTTAAATTCAATAAAATTCAAATTAGTATTTATAATTGATTTCTCTTTCCTTTATCATAGATAAAACCTTTTCACTCCTTGCATCTTTCTTGTAATTGATTTCTCTTGCAAACTCATGTAATGATACAAAAAAAAATCCTCACAATCTATTTCTCTTCTTACATTTATCCCCTTTGAATTAATCCTTCAAATAATTACCAAAGTGTGCTAAGCAAGCAATATGTGTAGCGTTATGAGCAAAACAACAATGGAGGAAGGTGTGTGCACTTTTTGAGAATGGGGGAGGGAGGAGCAATGCCCATATGATTGACAAAACAACATTCCAATCTTTAGATTATAGGTAAAAAATAATTATTAGTTAAGATTGAAAATTAATCATATACATTCTCTCAAAAAACTATTACTATCGTTGCCTCCACAACTATCAACATCACTATCAACTAGTGTCGCAAAAACTATTACCACCACCATTGTCACTACCATGGTTGTTGTTTCCACTATCACCATCGTTGACACGACCATGTGACAACATGGACGATTATGGTGGGAGTAACAATAATTGTTGTTGACACCATCATCACCATTGCTACCACCACCATTATCATTGTCATCAATGAAAACATATTTTATTATGATAGATGAAAGGGATAAATAATAATCATTTGATTGAAAATAAAAATAACTAATGATTGAGATTAAAATTTAATTGCAAACACCCACATATAAGATTATTATTATTATCATCTCTACAAATATCACCATCACAACCACCTATCATCGTTGTCACCATCACTTCCATTATCATCATTGTCGTTGCACCACAACCATCATCATTGTTGTGGTGACGGTGGTGGTGATGTTGGTGGAAATGCCCTCTATCACCACCACCGTTGTAACATTATACTAGTAAGGTGATCCTTCTCTTGGGTTGTTTATGTGTTAAGGTGGTTTTTGGTGAGTTGGAGTTCCTGTTGTTTAGACCCTTTCCTTCTTCTCTATTTGTATCTTCCATTGACTCTTAGTCTTGAGTGCTAGGGACAGCTGGATGTTGTTCCTTCTCCCTGTAGTTTAGAAATGTGGGTTGGTGTGGAGCTTGGGTGATTTGGAGCTTAGAACGATTTTTCTCTTCTTCTTCCTCTCATTTACTTTCTAGAAAGCTTGGAGTTTTTTATTCTTCCCTCTCTCTCTTTCCTTCATTTAGGTAACTGAAGCTCGCAAGGTTTTTTGTTCCCTTCTTCTTCTTCTTCCTTAGAGAGCTTAGAATCAAGGTAAGGGAAGTTGGATTCTTAATTTTTTGATGGGTTATTTTTTGATTCATGAAGTTGAATGTTGTTTGAATCCCTAAAATTCATGCCCGAGTCGGTTGGGTTTAAGTAGATTGCATGTTAAGTTAGAGTTGTGGATGTTCTTGAATGAGTTGGACAAAAAAATGGGTGATCTTAATATCTTGATGATTGCATGTGGTATTTTATGAAATTTTGAGTTTCATGTAGGAATTTGGTAATGAAAATGAGTTGTAAATGGTGTTTAGGAAGAAATTTTTTGAAGTGAAGGTGATAAATGATGGAGAAACCATGAACATACAAAAAAAAACTTTGAACTCAATGTTGATTTTGACACTAGAGTCTTGAAAATACCTTAAATAAGAGGCTCAAACAGAGATCTAGAACTATAGTAGCGAAATGAGAGTTTCAATGGTGAAGAATAAGGTCTAGCAGAAATCTAAGATGGTTGAGTGTTGCAATGATGGGGAAAAAATTGGGCTGGCAAAAATCCAACGCTGAAATGCTGGATTGAGCACTATAGAAGTAGGGGTAAATAACCAAATTTGGTCTTGAGGTCTTCATAAAAGTTGTATCCTTATATGTTGGCTTTACAATGGCTTTAAAATCACCTAAAAAGGATGTCTATAACTTTAGTTATATATAACCTTTTTAGTGAGTAAAGGTCAAATTGTTAACATTCAAGCAAATTGTTACAGTTTTTGTGATTTTCAACAACATGGTAGATGATGAAATTAGAACCTGAGGTCTTCATGAGAGTGTATAAAAGCTTCTTCTATTTCATATAAGATAAGGATAAGCATGATATGGGTAGTAGAACTTCTTATGCATTATTTTATGTGATGATTGCCATTGTATGATAGTTGGTTTTGATAAGTTGTATGTTGATATATGTTATATGATGGGTGAATTTGGTGAACATGAATGAAATACTTGTGTCTATAACATGTTTTATGATGTAGGATGATGATAATAAGCATTGATATGCTATGTATGATTGATATGTTATTATTGAATAAATTATTAAGCATTGAAATGTTATTCTTGGTTTGGTGTTAAGCATTGGTATGTTATGCATAATTGGTGTGTTGATTTCTATATACATTGACTGAATGTGATGTATATAGTAGATGTATGATGAGGTGTAGATGTTGAGAATGTGGTGTGATATTAAAGCATGATGGCTAACTTAGGACTTGAAGAGAGAAAATTATTTTGAAAACTAAAGATCCTATATAAGGTATTTGGAGTGGTGCTCAAATAAGCCACTATTGGAAAACCCTCCTTGAGTAGATATGTCTCTTGGAGTGGATTTTTGAGGTGTGTTGAGTCTCTTCTAGATCCTTAGCTAGTAGTTGAGTAACATAGAAGGTCAAGAGCTACAACTTTTAACCAAGTACGTGGAAAGGTTACGTAGTTCCATGATGATGGCCAGTGAACTAACTCCACATGTGACTTGGTAATGCATGTCAAGATCGTGGTATGCCTATACCCAATTATGCCACTTTTAATGGTGGAATCAGACTTCTCCAGTGTAAGTGATGAAACCCAAGAAGCCAAATAAGGGATTGGTATCCCATTTTGTTGTGATTGAGCCAACACTTTGGGTGTAAAAATGATTGAGTTGGTTTGGTAGAAAGAGAGAGTAGATCAGGGCTAGACTTGAAGAGCTACTACAGACAGATGGCATGATCTTTTATTGATGGTGATGCTATTGTGTGTAGCTTGTATAAATATGCTCGACTGACACTAGGACATAGGATTATTTAGGATTACTATATACATGTATACATCCTCGTTTATATTAGTTTGGATGTTTTACTCATATATTCATGCTATGTATATGTATATCATGCTCCTTCCCTTAATCCTATATGTTCTAGTAGTATGGTTTTCACTACTAAGAGTAGTGATTCCATTGAGTGTAGTGGTTATGGTGGGTCGTCACACCCGTCATCGTCATCACATGTTGGCAACTATGATGGTGGTGGTGGTGGCGATAACAACAACAATTATGATGATGGTGACAACGATGATTACGGTTCTGGTGTCGATGACAACGACAA